GAGTCCGACAATTGTGGCCCGACTTTCTATCAAATTACCATTTCCCAATGACACGCTGGGTGTGCCAAAAAAAATACACCGTCGAGTGAGGGCCTTGGAGTATAAGTGTCTCCACTCAGACATGTGTATGGCAATACCCCAACGAGTCGTTGCGCAATGATACTTTGATGGAGAAACAGGCTATAATTGCCGGTCCCAATAACACACCTTAAACGCCCACTTCCTATGTAACATTTGTAATTTTAAAATATTGATATCTACATATATCTACATATATAAAGAAATACAGAGTCTGCCATCGAGTCCGACAATTCTGGCCCCTCTTTCCATCAAACTATCATTTCCCAACGACGCGCTGGGTGTGCCAATAATGTACACAGGCGAGTGAGGGTCTAGAAATATAAGCGAACCACCCAGACATGTGTATGGCAATACCCCAACGAGTCGTTGGGCAATGATAATTTGATGGAGTGACAGGCTATAATTGCCGGTCCCAATAACACACCTCATACATTCACTCCCTATGTAACATACATAAATATAAGGTATTGATGTATACATTTATAAATACATTTACATATACATTATGTAACATATCTACATAATAGGTTTTAATATTTTCATATAAGGTGTTGATACTTACATATAGATATATTTATATGAAGGAAAAAAGATACAGGGTCTATCATCGAGTCCGACAACTATTGCCCGTCTTTCAATTTGAAACTTTCGGCCACATACCTCGAACATTTTCCAACTAGATTTGCTTCGCCATGGGCATGTCCGTGTTCATGAAAATTATCGTATTCCTCGTGCGAGTGCGCGTGCATAGCTGCTTCGCTCTTATGGTCGTCGTGTGCGTGCCCATGACCTCCGCAACCACACCCTCCAGCAGGAGCTTCGTCTTTCATTTCACCGCTCTCGACAGGTTCATCACCACTATGTACACGTCCATGTACGCTACCCACAGCCTCATTCACTTCTCTGTGAAGTAAAATTTCAATTTATTTGGAGGATGAGTTAATATGTTCATACACATATATACACATCCACATATATGCATACATAAATACATATATACATAACTATCAGAATACAGTCTGTCATCAGTTGAGGCGATTGCTACCCGTCTTTCAACTAGGATGTCATTTCCAAACGAGATGAACGTCTCCGCTCAGACATGTGTTTGGCATCTACCCAGCACGTCGTTGATTAATGAAAATCTGATGGAGAGACAGACTATAATCGCCGGTCCCAATGCCAAACCTTTAACGTCCACCTCCCTTGTAACATATATACATATAATGTTTAAATTTATACACATACACATACATCTATATCTACATATATCCATATCCATATCTACATATATCCATATCCATATCTACATATATCCATATCCATATCTACATATATCTATATATATATTAATAAAGGGTCTGCGATCGAGTCCGACAATAGTCGCCAGTCTTTGCATCAAATTATCATTTCCCAACGACGCGCTGGGTGTGCCAATAAAATACACAGGCGAGGGAGGGTCTAGAAACATAATCGACCCCAGACGTGTTTATGGCGATACCCCAACGCTTCGTTGGGTAACGATAATTTAATGGAGAGAGCTACAATTGCCGGTCCCAATGACACACCTTACACGTCCACTTCCTGTGCAATATGTATACATACGCGGTATTGACATATGCAGATATATATATATATATAAAGAAAAAGGGTCTGCCATCGAGTCCGACAATTGTGGCCCGTCTTTCCATCAAATTATCGTTACCCAACGACGCGCTGGATGTGCCAATACGATACACAGCCGAGTCAGGACCTTGGAATAGATGCGTTTCCACTCAAACATCTGTTTGGCAATACCCCAACACGTCGTTGGGCAATGACAACTTAATGGAGAGACAGGCTATAGTTGCCGGTCCCAATGACATACCTTAAACATTCACTCCTTATGGACCATTGAAATATAGAGTATTGATATATACATGAATAGATAGTCTCCCATCGAAACCGACAATTGTGACCCGTCTTTCCATCCAATTATCATTTCCCGACAACGCGCTGGGTGTGCCAAATATATACACAGGCGAGTGAGGGCTCAGAAATATAAGCGACCCCACTCACACGTGTGTATGGAAATACCCCAACGCGACATTGGGCAATGATAATTTGATGGAGAGACTGGTTATAATTGCCGGTCCCCATGACACACCTTAAACGTCCTCTTCCTATACAACGTGTATACATATACGAAATTGATTTGAAAAGATATATACAGATATATCTAAGAAAAAAGATGGAGTCTGCCATC